ACCTGCACGTTTTGCACATGTACCCTAGAAATTAAAGTATAAATAAATAAATAATAAATAAATAAAAATAAGTCTTATATGGACATATTCTTTTATTTCTCTTGGATAAATGCCCAATAGTAAAATGGCTGGATTTTGTGGTAACCTTAAAAAAAGTCTACTATTTTTCAAAGTAGTTGTAGTATTTTCTGATTTTATTTAATTTACAAATCTATATCTTAAATGACAAATAAAAATTGTATACATTTATGATGTACAGTGTGATGTTTTGATATATGTATGGATTGTGGAGTGATTACATCAAGCTTGTTAACATATCTCTCACCTCACATGCTTTTTTTTGTGGTAAGAGCAGTTAAAATCTCTTTCAGCAATTTCAAGTTTATATTATTATTAACTATAGTCTCCATGTTGTGTAATCGTTCTCCAAAATTTATTTCTCCTGTCTAACTGAAACTTTACACTCTTTGACCAACATCTCCATATTGTCCCCACATTCGCAAGCCCCTGGCAACCATCTTTCAATTCTCTGCTTCTATGAGTTCAACTCTTTTAGATTCCACATATAAGTAAGAGCATACAGTATTTGTCTTTCTGTGCATGGCTTACTGCACTTAGCATAATATTCTCCAGGTTTATCTACGTTGTCACAAATGGTTAGGTTTCCTTTTTTAAGGCTGAATACTATTCCTTTGTGTATATATATTATATTTTATTTATTCCCATTAATAGACACTTAGGTGGATTCTATGTCTTGAAATTGTGAATAATCTGCAATGAACATAGAAGTACAGATATCTCACTGACTTACTGATTTCATTTCCTTTGGATACATACCTGGAAGTTGGATTGTTGGATCATATGGTTGTTTTATTTTCAATTTGTTGACGAACATCTATTCTCTCTCCTCCAATGATCATGGGTTATACTATTTTATAATTCTACCATCAAGTGTATGAGAGTTCCAGTTTTTCTATGGTCAATTTCTATTTATTTGTTTGTTTATTAATATTTAAAATTTTTTCCATTTACACAGGTATGAAGGGGCATCTTATTGTGGTTCCCATTTCCATTTCCATAATGACTAATGATGTTGAGACTCTTGTGTTTATTTGCCACTCATTATCTTTTTTGCTGAAGTGTCTGTTCAAATCTTTTGTCCTTTTTAAATCATAGAAATCATTTGGAAATATATTCTTCCATCCTGTGGCTTATTTTCTCATTCTGTTAGCAGTATCTTTTGAAGAACAGTACATTTAATTTTGATAAGGTCCAATTTGTCAGTTTGTTCTTTCATAGATTATTTTTGTTATATCTAAAAAATCTGCCTATCATAAGGTCACAAAAGTTATTCTGTTTTAAAAAGAAGTTTTGTCATTTTATTTTCAGTTAAGTCAATGATTCATTTTAAATTAATTTTTGCATGTGGCACAAGGGGCAGATTCAAGTTTCTTTTTTGCATTTGGATATGCAGTTGCTCCACCATTGTTTTTGAAAAGATTATCCTTTCTCTATTGGATTTTCTTTGCATCCTTGTGGAAAACATTTGCTCATGTATGTGTGGTCTCTCTTTCTTTTTCTCTCTCTCTCTTTCTCTCTCTCTCTCTCTCTCTTTCTCTCTTTCTTTTTTTTGAGACACAGTCTCACTCTGTCGCCCAGGCTGGAGTGTAATGGCACAATCTCAGCTCACTGCAACCTCCGCCTCCTGGGTTCAATTCAAGTGATTCTCCTGCCTCAGCCTCCTGAGTAGCTGGGATTACAGGCACATGTCACCATGCCCGGCTAGTTTGTTTGTTTGTTTGTTTGTTTGTTTTGTATTTTTAGTAAAGATGGTGTTTCACCATTGGCCAGGCTGGTCTTGAACTCCTGACCTCAGATGATCCTCCCGCCTCCCCCTCCCAAAGTGCTGGGATTACAGGCACGAGCCACTGAGCCCGGCCAGGTCTATTTCTTCATTGATCTACTGGTGTATGTTACAAGTACTACATTTACTTGATTACTTACAATAAGTCTTGAATCAAATAGTGTTAACCCTGCAACTTGTTTGTTCTTTTTTAAAGTTGCTATTGTTTCTTGCCACTGAGCTTAAAAAAAACGTTGCTGTTGACTACTTTAGGTTCTTTGCATTTTCATATGTGTTTTGTCAATTTCTACAAAAGTCCTCCTGGCATTTTAATTGGAATTTGCTGGAATCTGTAGAATAATTTGGGAAGAAGTGACATCTTTAAAATATTGAGTAATATTTTACATAATACTGGCCAATTAATATATCTATTTATTTTGTTTTTTCTTTATTTTTTTCTCAACAATGTTTTGAGATTTCTATTTATAAGTTTTCCACATCTTTTATGTAAATTATCCCTATTTCATATATTTTTATGTTATCATTAGTGACATTTAAAACATTCAGTTTCCAATAACTTGTTGCTAGTATATAGAAATTCAGTTGATTTTATATGCTGATCTTGTATCCCAAAATCTTGCTAAGCTTACTTATTAGTACAAGTAACTTTTATTCTCGATTCCATCATATTTCTATACAAATAGTCATATTGTCTGTGAATAAAGACAGTTTTATTCCTTCTTTTCTGATTCCTGTGGTTCTTTTTCTTTTTCTTTTTTTTTTTTTTTTTTTTTTTTGTTGTTGTTGTTGTTGTACTAGCTGAAACCTCCAGGACAAAGTTGAATAGAAGTGGTGAGAGTGGAAATTCCTGTCCTGTTCTGGTCTTTTATCTTTCAGTATAATACATTTTCATAGGTGCTTTCTTTAGGTTGAGAAAATTCTCTTCAGTTTCTCCTTCACTGAGTCATTTTATGAGGAATGGATGTTGGATTTTGCCAAATGGTTTGTTTTACCTATTTTATGTGCCTATTATGTACACGTTGAAGAACTTCTGGGTTTTTTGTTTTGTTTTGTTTTGTTTTTTGAGACGGAGTCTTGTTCTGTCGCCCAGATGAGTACAGTGGCTCAATCTCGGCTCACTGCAAGTTCCGCCTCCTGGGTTCATGCCATTCTCCTGCCTCAGCCTCTCAAGTAGATGGGACTACAGGCACCCCCAACCACGCCCAGCTAATATTTGTATTTTTAGTAGAGACGGGGTTTCACCGTGTTAGCCGGGATGGTCTGGAACTCCTGACCTCGTGATCTTCCTGCCTCGGCCTCCCAAAGTGCTGGGATTACAGGCGTGAGCCACCATGCCCTGCCCTGAAGAATTTCTTTTAGCATTTCTTGTGTAGATCTCCCAGAAAAAAAATCTGGTTTGGGGAGAAGGGTATGAACATGTCTTTATTTTTCATTTTTGTAGGATATAAGACTATGCTACAATTTTATGTAGAATCTATTTAGAATCCTATACAGAATTCCAGACTAACATGTTTTACTTTCAGCTCTTTAAAGATGTCATTCTATTGTTTTGGCTTTCATTGTTTCTGAAGAGAAATCAGACATAATTTTATCATTGTTTTCGTCTGTGTAATGTTTCTTTTTTCTCTGACTGCTTTTAAGATTTTTGTGTCGTCTTTGGCTCTCTACAGAGTGAATATGGTGTGCCTAGTTCTGTTTTTGTGTTTATCCTTTTTTGGGATTACTATGATTCTTGATGCTGAAGTTTGATATTTTTAATCGATTTTGAGAAATTCTTGGTCATTATGTTTTCAAGTATTTCTTCTGACCCATTTTCTATTTCTCACGGATGCAATTACATATTTACTAGACTACTTAATATTGTCCTAGAGATCATAGACTCAAGTTTTTTACTCATTCCCCCTTTTATTTATTTATTTTTGATAATTGACCTGTCCTCAGGTATATTGCTTCTTTTTGCTGCTGTTAATAGGCTACTGTTGTGTTTCGTGGCCTCTTAGGCTCCTAATATGTCTTCACTTTTAATGATAGTGTATTAAAAAAATTTTTGACATTTCAGTTTGCTTTCTTTTTATACTTTTCATTACTCTGCTGAAATTCTCTGCATATTCATGCATGCTCTCCACCTTTTCCACTGAATTATTTGACATATTTATCATAGTTATGCTGAAGTTACCCCCGATAAATCTAACATCTGTACTTTCTAGAGTTTCAGCCTGTTGACTGTTTTCTCATTTGATTGTTGTTCACATTTTTTTCTTTTTGTGTGTCTCAAAATTTTTTACTGTATGTTGGACATTGTGAGAAAAAAGTAGAGATTGAGAAAATTAATATTTTTTTTTACCCTAGAAAAGTGCATACTTTTTTTTTGTTAGGCCTTGGCTTGGAAAAGTTGAGGAAATCTGTTGTATATTTGAGGTATGTGGGTTTTATTTCAGCCTTAGTTGGATTAGTTTACCACTGACTTCAAATGTTTTGAAAACAGAATAAGGTCTTTTCTATCACTAGGGCTTGTAATCTGAGCATTGGCAAGATTTCAGAGATCTCTGTATGCTCACAGACTGTTTTGGTTGCTAGGGAGTTCTTTTTCCTTCTCCGTTTCCGACTTTATTAATCTCAGGAGGTCTCTCTTCTTTTTGCTCTGCTAGTTGAAGCCTTTGGCATCCAGTGCTTTGTACTTAATGAAAGTTCACAACACTCTGAGGAACTGTTCTCAGTTCTTCTGCCTTATTTCTGGCCTCAGTTGCAACTGTTTTGACCTAGTGAAGGCCTAGTCTTTCTCATACAGATTTCTTTTAACTCTTCTGCCCTGACTCCAGTCTTCACTGGGATGCTGCCTTGCACTTAGGGAAGGTTCACATGCCTCAAGGATCTCTCTGTCAGATTTCTTGACTTTCCCTCAGTCTTCAGAATAGTCCTCCTATGTGCCTGGTGAGGACCTGTGGTAAAGTGCTGGCAGGTGAGTACAGCTTGATGGTGTGGATGGGTTCCTTGGGACTCCAGCGTGTCAAGCCAGTTCACAAACAGGTCTTAATAGTTGTTTAAGATTCATGTAGTTTCTCATTTTCTTTTCTGTGGTAGATTCTGTTTCCTGAGATGAAAAAATTCACTGGTCTGGTGTTTTATAGAACGGGATCATAACTATATAGATTTTAGTTAAGTTAGCTTTCTTAGTGTTCTCAGCTTTCTTAAGGGGATAAAAAGCAATGATTTTATGGATTATCTGACTTTTCCTTTAGTATTAGGTTTGCCCAATCATCTCCACGATTTCTAAATTCCAAACTTCTTGAATAAATAAATGTTAAAAGAAAACATTGTACTAAAGTCAAAAGAAGGGTTTTAAAGCATAGTTCTACTTTTTACTGTCTGTGTATCCTTGGATAAACTACTCCTCCAAAATTATATTACTTGCTTTTTCAGCTTGTTGAGTCTTTCATAAATTTAAGGGTTGGAATATGTCTCTCAGACAGAAAGTGATAGAGCTTTGCAAGTCTTCAGATGTATTCAAGTTTGGTAAACACTGGGTTAGGCCATGGATAAAAGATTGGTCTTTGTGTGTTCATAAGAAAACCTGGATAGGAAGCTCTTCTTCTTACACAAAGCCTCGGTTGAGAAGTAAAGCTGGGACTATTAGTCCATGTTCTGCATTGAAATAATGGTAGCCATGCCTAGATTGATTTAAGATGCCTGTCTTCACACAGTTAATAGTCACATCAAGGGAAAGAGCAACAGGCAGAACTCTTGGCTTTGTATAAGAGCCCGAGGAAAGGGCCTGAGAGAGTACATACTTACTGTCTCAAAGTGCAGTGTTAATGTGAGGTGTTGGGGAAGAGGTCTTGGGTGTGTGTGTGTCTGCATAATATATGTGTGGAAACTGTCAGTGCTGGTCCTTTGAGATATGTCTGTGAAAACTTTCAATTAACAAAAATAACCAACATTAATTGAATACTTCTTATGTGCCAGTCACTGTTCCAAGTTCTCTACAAAAGGTAATTCTTTAGTCCTTATAGTAGTACTGTAGTGGTGCTGATACTATTTTTATCTTCATTTTTCAGATGAGGAAGCTAAATCACGTAAAAATTAAGAAACAGCTCAGCGTTTCACAGCTAGTAAGTAACAGAGATGGGCTTGAGACCCAGATTGGCAGGATCCAGGTCTTGAGCTCGTAATGACTCTGCTATGGTGCCTCCCTTGAAAGTGTCTTAGTGCTTTCATTGTTGCTTTTGTTATTGTTATTCTGACTATTATTTAGTACCTCCTTGGTGGATAGTGGCTATGAATTTGTAGTTGTTGGTGTGTTTCTTCTGGAGCTTAAGCTCCTGCCTCCTCTATTGTTGAGTTTTTGTTACCTTTGAAATAATTGCTGAATCAACAAAATATCTGTTACATTGCTGCTGCTCGAATGGCTGTCTTTTAGAATTAGCACTCTTCTTTCTGAATCTGATGCCACAGCCTTTTGAACTTAAGGTATTTGGATGTGTCAGTAAAGGGGCTGTGGTAGCTGTGGTAACAGCAGCTCCAATGGTGGTGACCATAGAGAATATGGCAGAGCTGTGAATGAGATGAAGACATTTAGTGATGGCAGAGGAAACTTTGGGATTTCACAGCTTTCTTCCTCCAAAAACTATTTGAAAGCAGATATGAGGAGTGGGAAATACAGAAATAATTCCAGCCTTTGTGCACCTTACAGCATAATGAGTGATGTTCACAGCTGATAAATAATAATAGCAAATACCTGTATAGAACTTACTGTATACTGGACACTTTCCCAAATATTTTACATGGGCTATCTCACGTGTTCCACTCAGTAATCCCAGAAGATGGAACTCTGATCTCTAGCTTACAGGTGAGGAAACTGAGGCAAAGCAAGGTTAAGAGCTTGCTCAAGATCCCACAACCAGTAGGTGACAGAACTGATATTTGAACCTAGGAAGATTGGCTTGAGAATCTGACACTTAAACACTATCCTATTCTGCTAACAAATAATGAGCCAGTTGGCAACTGTGGTAAGAGCTACAGAGACAATGAGAAGATGAGGGGGATTGAGCTGAGTCTGGAGGGTTTTGGGAAGGCTTGCCTGATGAAGTGATGAGGAGTGATGAAAAAGTCAGCCAGGTGAAGGGGCATGTGTATATGTGCATGTGTGTGCCTGTGTTCCTGTACCCATGCATGTGACATGGTCAGGGAGACACATTTTCAGGACTTGTATAACACACCTCTGTAAATAGCTTCAAAATAAAATACCAATTTGTGATTCTTTTAATCGAGATTTACCTCATACACAACTTTCAGGCACTGTTTTGTAGAATAATTCAAAGTGATGCTGTCTTTGTATATGGCTTTAAGACAGGTGTTAAGCACATATCTCTGTGTGTCTGTGTCCTGCTTTATGGGCAGTAAGAAGCTTGGGAATCCTGGAAAGCTGAATTCACATTCCAGCTTTGTAGCCCTGATCATTGCCCAGTTACTTGGGGTTGTGTTCTCTGTTTGTTGATTAATAGAAAATGCATTAAAAATGCAGAAAATAGAAAAATTATCCCCAATCGGTACAAACATCCACATATCTGAAGGCTTCTATTGCAGGTTCTTGGTAATCATCAGAACCCCTCTAGTGAGACCACCAGGTTATTTCTAGGTTCCATCCCAGAGTCAATGGTCCCTCAAAAAGGAAGTTTTTGCTTACTATAAGCAAAACCAAATAGAATTAGGAAGGTCATGGATTCAAGAACTCTAAAAACAGGGTTGAGAAATTAAGTGAGAAGGAGAAAACAGAGGAAGATCTAAACATTGAGATTACACCTCTGCCCAACTTAGTTGTGTTCTAACATTTTAAAAAAGAGATTAACTGGGAAGCAAATAGAAATTAGACTATTTATTAAAAAGCCTTTAGCAGTTTCTCATCAAGTGACACATTTGGTGTTTAGTGTTCCTAATGAGTTGCACTAGGGTTATTTTTACACTTTTGGGCATCTGTGGAGTGGTAAATGTGTTCCTAAATATTAGATATAATTACAATAAAATATGTTTATATAAATTTACTTGGTACCAGATTCAGACTAGTTTTGTTTTAATCAGGGTTTTGAATTATACATGACTTTCATCTCTCTTCACCTTTATGCTCATTAATCAAGAGCTGACTATATCAGGTGTCTGCACTTGAGTGGACCTACTGGATCTCTTTGAATTTTGGTTTTCTGATGTGTAAAAATCAAGTCAGCACCCCTATATCGCTCAGGGTATTTGTAGGGATAACATGATATAATATGCAGCAAAGTGGTTTGTATGAATCTGGTATAGGATGGATGCCCAAATTATTTTAATCCTTTTTTTCTTTCCTCCATCCCTTCCTTCCTTCCCTCCCTTTTTACTTACTGCCTTCCTTTCTTCCTTCCTGGCGGTGGGGTAGAAGATAAGGAGACCAAGTCTCAGGTTTGCTACTCAGAGGCTGGTGAGCTTGACTTGATCTTTCTGCTGGTAAAATGAGAAAATTCATTAAATAAATCCCCTAAGAGCCGTGCAAGTTATAAAAGTCTACATTTTCATTTTCTTTGATTCTTGAGTTATACAAGAAAATATTTGACAGTACTTTCAGTTAAACAGTTTCAGTTTTTGCCTGTTTAAAGGAAGGTTGTAGCCCTAACTCTTCACCCCTCTAAACCTGGGAAAGGATTCCCACAAGTACATCTTCACCAAATTTATAGGCTCCCTGCTGAGTTAGCAGAAACCAGGCAACTGAGTGGATGAGCTTCTATTGGCACAGTGGTGTTTGGTTATGCAGCTGAGTGGATGAGCTTCTATTAGCACTATGGTGTTTGGTTATGCAGCTGCAGAACTGGGGAGAAAAGCCTGAGCCAATATTTATGAGGTATGACTGTGACCTAAACTTTAGAACTAGTTCTCCTGGAGAATGCAGGTAATTATTTTTCATTTCCTTGGAAAAATGAACAGCCATGTAAGGTAGGCTGAAAAATGGTCCCCCAAAGATATCCATGGTCTAATCTCGGAATCTGCAAATATGTTAAACTACACAGCAAAAGGAATCTTGCAGATGTGATTAAGGCTTTGAGATGGGAGGTTATCTTTTATACTAGGGAGACAGGAGAGTCAGAGTAAGCAAATTGTGACAGAAGCAGAGAGACAGACTTTTGAGGATGCTACACTGCTGGCCTTGAAGATGAAGGGTGGGGCCACGATTCAAGGGGTGTGAGCAGCTTTTAGACGCTAGAAAAGGTAAGCTGAACTCTCTCCTAGGGCCTCCAGAAGGAACTCAGCCTTGCCAACACCTTTATTGTAGCTTGTAAGGCATATTTCAGACTTTTGAACTACAGAATCGTGAGATAATAAGTTTGCATTGTTCTGAACCACTACATTTGTGGAAATTTGGTATAGCAGTGATAGGAAACAAATGTACCATGGCTACCAAAGTAAAAACCTTACATTTTGAAACATTTATTATTTCTCCAAATAAGTCTGGATGAACAACTCTAAGGACGGAAGAATAATTTTACCTGTTACAACCTGGTAGTTGGAGAAAAGACTTGGTGAGTGGAGGTGATCTAGACCTTCCAACAGGTAAGAAAACCTCAAAATTGCTAGCTCTTGTGACATCCCAGGTAGGCCACAGTAGACATCTCCATTCAAGGGAGTTACTGAATTATAAAGGTGAAAATTGGTTAAAATTGGCCTGTTTCCTATGGAAGTATTCATAAACGATTCAATTTCAGGTCTATTTTTTCTTTCTACTCTAGGAATATGGCCACAATTGACTGAGGAAGGGGCATGAATAAGGTAGTATTGATAGGAGATATGAAATAATTCTCTACTGAGTTCAGTAGAGAGTTAATCCCACTTTTCTATAAAATTAATATAATTTCTCTCTCTCAGTAAAGGGATGGCTATTAACAATAGAGCATTCCATATGTGGAACAATAGAGATCAACTACGCACAAAAAAATTGGCAATGGATGGACGTTGGATAGCTTTCAATGGGGCTTTTCCTCTCAGGTTTCAGTCAAATTTTGCTGTAAGTTAAAAGAGAAACCCTATTATAGGTCAGGTTCTAGGGGGTTGTATCCCCATACTGACTACTTACTGGCTGTGGGGCTGCCTCATGGGAAATTGCTTTATTTGGGGTGAGCCAGCTCCCTTCTGTTGAGGGTAATGCCCAGGGAGGGACTCAGCTGTGAACCAATGGCACCTGGAACATCCAGGCAACTGGAGAAATGAGTGCCTCAAAGTGGGTAGCTGGAAGGAGCTGGTAGGTGTACTCCAGGGTTCTTACAGACTCCTGGATGCGTGTACATAAAGGCAAAGCAGAGACATGGGATCAGCATGAAATAGAGCCCTTAATTGGATTCCAGGAAGATAGATTTAGAGGTTCTATGCCACTGGCTTTGCGAAAGTTACTTGGTCAATTCATTAGTTCCATTGCTCTCTAGGTTTCAGTTGAATGACCTTTCCATTGCTTCTATATCATGAAAAACAGAGATGCTGGTGAAAAACAGAGAATTAGAATAGTTGAAAGTCAAAGATAAGCCTTATTCTAAATCTAGTTTTACAACTTTGTTGAAAAACATCTTCAGATGCGTTGTTACCTTCACCCTCTTTAAACATTTCCATCTCTACCTTTTTTGGGATTTACCCTGATGGAAATAGTATTAAGGCAAAGTAATTGTGCAAAGTTGGTGGCAGAAAGGAAAATAAGCACAATTAAAGGACTTAGATTCAGTGAACCATATGTTTATGGAACCTCTACTGGGTTCAGACAAAATATATATATTCAACTATTTATTTTAGATGATAGAATATCTAGAGATTAAGTAATCTACTTTTTAAACAAGGGTAAACATCAGGATTGGACTAATGGTACATTTTTAAAAGGCAAGAGTTTTTATTTGGAAATACTTTATCCCTACAAATTACTCTTAGTTTGTTACTGTTGGTGAAAAAATTATCTTCCTCTAATAACTTAAGCAACATTGTGAGAACTACTGAAGGTAGATTGTAACTTAATTACATGAAGTTACCAGTCTTTCTATATGTTTTTTCAGTCCTTGTAACACCAGTTATTAGTCTTCCTTATTGTCCCCAGCACACTTTTCTACATTTT